CGCCTGCCGCCCGCCGCACCCGCCGGCCTTGAATTGCCTTGCCATGCTCGTAAAAAACATCGCTACTCTGAAACCAGAATTACTAGGGGCGCTTTTCTGGTGTCATTACGCGTATAATGGATGCCCCAGAGGCTACCAAAGATCTGAGCGGGACTGCACAATATGCCGCGTTGGTATACTCAGAAAAACGGGGGGGGGGGCGCATCGCCCACCCTCCAACCTCCTGTCAGGTGCCAATAGCCTGTCACCCTCCAGCCATCGCATCGCCCACCCTCCAACCTCCTGTCAGGTGTCAATAGCCTGTCACCCTCCAGCCATCGCATCGTCCACCCTCCAACCTCCTGTCAGGTGATAATAACCTGTCACCCTCCAACCATCGCATCGCCTACCCTCCAACCTCCTGTCAGGTGCCAATAACCTGTCCCTCCAACCATCGCATCGCCCATCCTCCGACCTCCTGTCAGGCGCTAATAACCTGTCACCCTCCAACCGTCGCACCGCCCACCCTCCAACCACCTGTCATGTGCCAATAACCTGCCACCCTCCAACCTTTGCATCGCCCGCCCTCCAACCCCCCGTCATGTGCCAATAACCTGCCACCCTCCAACCTCCTGTCATGTGCCAATAACCTGCCACCCTCCAACCTTTGCATCGCCTACCCTCCAACCCCCTGTCAGGTGCGAAACACTGGAGGCGGATTCGCCTTCCAGTAGAAGTGTTCGCATATGATTCGTGAAAGAGGACAATTTGACACTACACTGCATCCTGTCAGGGCGAGTAACTTGTTCAGAAAGACCTAGCCGCCTGATGCGAAATTATTGACCAATTTCGATACAACTTATTTGTTGGGGCGCGGCGAAAGGCGTCTGCCAGTGAGAACATGTCACACCAGGCTTGGAGCATGCATAAGGCATCGTCGATTGTTTGATGGCGGTTGAGATGGGGCTCGAAGCGCACAAGTGATTTTCGTAAGGGGTATGGCCTCGTGGAGGCCCCTATATTTGACGTTATTTTCAATGCCGCTTATCTCTGGTTCGAAATCTGCCATGCTTTCTGCTGCCCTGGCTATTGAGATCCTTCGTTGTTGTTGTTTTTTTGGGGTCGCGGAAAGCAAGTCCAGCCGCACATCGAGTTTAAACGTGAAGCCCCGGCAAGTCCCGAGGGTGGAAGAAAACTGTTGCCATTGGGCTGACTCATTAGTCTAGGGCAGGTGCGCCTAATTTTCAAGCAGCTAAGTAGGCGCATGGCCCTCCTTCCATCGCTCTAGCCTATCCCCATCACCCAAATGACCTGCCGACATTTTACACATATCATGCATTCGGACCACAGTACCATTTATTCACTACACGTTCTCCGTCGCCGTTGTGCCTGCATTGTTGTTGGGCTTTATTAAAGCACTAAGGCCCTGTTGGTAAAATTGAAGCGCTAAAACACTATTGCCACTATTAAAACACTTAATTAAAGCACTAAAAATTTAAAAGCAAAATATCCAAAATGCGGTACGAATGGCAATGTAGTCTTGTATACATACATATATGGAGTGCAGCTTCCTTATTTCTGTTCCTGCCGTTGGTTGAGTTATTTCCAGCCGTATCGTGCCAATATTCCAGAAATACTGGGCCAGACGCGGCATTAAAAGCGCACGAAACATGGTACGAAACTCGCCAACTCTGCTACCTGCGTAAGCGAAATAAGTCAGGGTCCAGCAGCTGACGCTGATAGTGCAACTGTATCTTTATAAACCGTGAAATTCCACGGGGGTAAAAAAACGCAGCTGAAAAAACGTCTTGGCCACAGCATAATGGATGAAGCTAAAAATTTCTCGCAATAAGGCACCAAAAATAAGGACTATCAAAAACAACACCATTGCACCAGTTAATGGTGTCGTACATTTATGAGCTAAAAGGGAGTCTCTCAGATTTGTGTGGAGATTTGAACTGAAATAGCCAGCTTGAAGATCACTCGGTGCAGTTCACAGCGCCGCGCTTCTTAAGACCTGAACCCTTCTAGGTGCTGGCCAACACAATCGCGAAGGTGTGGATGCTTTTTCGGGGAGACTTTTTCAAGGTCAGCCATGTATCCATGACACCATAAAACGTCATCCAAACATTGGCATTCCGTTGACCATGCGACGATAAAGATCAAGAAAAATGTGACTAACGACTCGTTTATATCTGGCGTTCATGAACATGATTTCCAGATAACAGCCGCAAATTGGCTCTCAATCAGTGTTGTGCATGGTGCGATGACATAATCGAGCAAAGCTGCATTGAGGAACACATTTACGTAACAGAGAAATTTGACAGTCTGGGGCAGCGTGTTCCACTTCAAAGTGGGCCAGTAGTGATAAGTAAGCTTGTTACATCATGTCTGATGCCTGCTCCGAAATCTTCAAATGTGGAACATTCCCTTCAACTATGCTTGATTGCTTTCTGGGTCACTGGTGATAACTCTTGACAAAGATTGTAAAGGGGCAGTTTGCAGACATCGGCTTTCTCCTAACCAATTGTCTGCAATTCGTGAAATGCCGTAAGAAGAACTATATTGCAGCGTAAGCACACCAAGCATCGTGGCAAAAACCCAACTTCGGCAGAGGGCTGAAGTTATACGGACCCCATTCGTGACATGGCGAAACGCTCGTGACAAGTTCGCCTTCCAGTGTAAGTGTTCGCGTATGGTTCGTGAAAGAGGGAAATTTGACATTTGGCTTGATAGTGCTAGCCTGGTTACATGGCAGGCGATCTTCATGAGGGCGCATGACGCGGTAAAGGTCCGTTCGTAGTGCTTGCATAATCGACCGAGAATATATGAATCCATTGAACGTACATTAAAATAATGGGATGGTCGGCTCAGGGTGCTGACAACGAATCATGTCCGGCGAAAATCAGGCCGAAAATCCGTCCCGGCGCAATACTTGCTTTCCGTGTTGTTCACCATTTTGTTCGTGGACTTGACCTGTGCTGTGGACGAGCGATGCGGCGCCAAATAGGTTACCCGATCCTGTTTTCTCATGAGGCCTTGCAATAAAGCAGTTCAGTTTTCAACTTGAAGTAAAAAGGTGTTAGATTTTCAGCCCACCATGGGTAGGGGACCAAACGTCGCTTGGCGTGAGAGACCACGGTACGGGTGAATTAGTGACGTCGAGATCATGATTGGGTTGTGAGGAGAAGAAGCGCGTGGGCTTACGTTGGATAGGCAAAACAGAAAGCCGTCAAATGTAACATGGTTTGCCGTCGGCGCATCAAGTTATCCACCAATTTGATGACATCATTTTGAGGTCACAAAGAGCTACCCCGTTGCACCCTCCATAGCGACGCTACTACGTGGAAGGATCAAAGAAGATAATCGTTGCGTGATGGCCAAATTTTCTTTACGCCTCTGTAATTCTTTAGGCAAAAATGTTGAGGGCCAAGCCAAGATTGGGGGGGGGGGGGGGGGGGGGGCAACTCGACATTGGTGGGGCCAGGGTCCTCACAAGAGAAAAGGACGGAGTGGGACAAGTCAGTATTTGGGAGGGGGAGGGGGCAAAGTAGGTGACGCCTCCGGAAAGCCCCTCGAAAACATACAAAGCGTCACTCATAATAACAGTCAATTCGCTGAATCTCTCTTTTCGTTTTCCATCGGAGCGCAAGATTACAGTGGCCTAATCTGAGGAGAGATCAGAATCTAAGGACAGGTCAGGTGAGTTCCAAAATCAGTCTATCGGGAAAATTTTCTTATCCTCCCCCACTCCCATCCACATCTGCACCCCCATCCCCACGCCCAAACAGCAATGGGGATAGCGATTGTGGTTTGTAAGACATCATGGTGATAGGAAAGGAAGCAACTAATACCGATGGTGGCTCGTCGTAGTCGATGTTACTTGCAGGCATCTGGCGTCAAATGGCTTCTTGACCTGGCCGAAAACATCTATGCAGAAATAATGGGCAGGCTGGTTACATCTTGCAGTTTCACACCCACTAGTCATATTAAAAACACGATCCAGCACTTACATCGAATGCTTGCGGCCCATGCCGACGGAAGGGTGTAACATACGGCCTAAGCGTTCCATGATGCGATGGGATCATCTCCAGGCCTCATCCGACGCTACAATCTTAAACTTGATCCGTGCACATTGACCTTCTCA